AAAGAGTGTTTTGAAGCAGCTCAAGTTGGGGAAAATGGTACTGGAAGTGCAGATCAAATGGAGAATGGTGGTGAGGATGAAGATAAAGATGACCCACTTTCAGATGAGCATTATGGTTATCCAAAAGCTGAATCAGAGAAATGGGTTTCCTGCATTAGAGTTCTTGATCCCAGGACAGGAAATACAACTTGTCTTTTGGAGCTTCAGGATAATGAGGCTGCTTTCAGCATATGCACCGTAAATTTCCATGATAAAGAATATGGAACACTTTTAGCTGTTGGAACTGCAAAGGGACTGCAATTTTTGCCTAAAAGGAGTGTAACTGCTGGATTTATTCATATTTATAGGTTTGTAGAGGATGGAAGATCTCTTGAACTTCTTCACAAAACTCAGGTTGAAGGTGTTCCCCTTGCTCTATGTCAGTTTCAGGGAAGATTACTTGCAGGGATAGGACCTGTGCTCAGGCTGTATGATTTGGGAAAAAGACGATTGTTAAGAAAATGCGAGAATAAGCTATTCCCCAACACAATTGTCTCTATTCATGCATATCGTGATCGGATTTATGTTGGTGATGTCCAAGAGGTATGTTTCTATTTTACATTATATATGTGTTGATTTTCCAGGTATTTGAGTTGTGCAAGCATTATGGGCGCAATTTTTGTCATCACTTCTGATTTCTATTGGTAACACTTGATTGATATCGCAGTGGCTTCTGCATTGATTTATCTGTGTCCTGCAAACTTTAATGTTTTGATTTTTTACTTAGAAAGACTAGACTAAGGTGTTTCTGTAGTGAATTTATGTTCTCTTGATTTTGCAAATAATAGACAGCATGCTTATTCTCGGATTCAATGTGCTGCTGCTCCACATGTCCCATTTCGCTGAATAAAATCTTCAGCTAATTGTGTTCTTTGGTCTCTGCAGTCTTTCCATTACTGCAAGTATAGGCGAGACGAAAACCAACTATACATATTTGCTGATGATTGTGTTCCAAGGTGGCTTACTGCATCATACCACATCGATTTTGATACCATGGCAGGCGCAGACAAGTTTGGGAATATCTATTTTGTGCGGTTGCCACAGGATGTTTCAGATGAGATAGAAGAAGATCCTACCGGTGGGAGGATCAAGTGGGAGCAGGGAAAGCTGAATGGAGCTCCCAATAAGGTGGAAGAAATTGTACAGTTTCATGTTGGTGATGTGGTCACCTGCTTGCAAAAGGCTTCTCTTATACCAGGTGGTGGAGAGTGCATTGTATTTGGAACAGTTATGGGAAGTGTTGGGGCATTACATGCCTTCACTTCACGGGATGATGTTGATTTCTTTTCTCATTTGGAGATGCATATGAGGCAGGATCACCCACCTTTGTGCGGAAGAGACCACATGGCCTATAGATCTGCTTATTTTCCTGTTAAGGTACCTACCTAATCAATTTTATGCTTTTTGTTCTTTCTATTGTTGGAAAACATTATTTGCAATCTGGGTTGGACAAGAGCATCCTCCCTGATATATTTTCATTGCTATTTCTGCCTGACGAAGGGCCTTTTATCTTCTGTCTCTAATAAAAACAAGGACGCATCAAAATGTTCTATTTGTTTATTGCGTCTTTTTGTCCTAGTATTAATTGTTACAAATTTCTGAGAGTCCTGCATTATTGTGTAGGATGTTATTGATGGGGATCTATGCGAGCAATTCCCAACATTGCCGATGGATTTGCAGAGAAAAATTGCCGATGAATTGGACAGAACCCCTGGAGAGATTCTGAAGAAACTCGAGGAAGTGAGAAATAAGATTATTTAAGAAAATTTGAAAGGTATGGTTCCCTATTTCTGTTTATTTAGTACTGTTGTCTTTATTTAAGGACTATAAGCAATACTAGAGATGTAGTTTTATATCCGTATGAAAGAACTACATTAATTAATACAAGTATTTACTATTTAAAATGCCAACAGACAATGTATATAAACAGGGGGAAATTCTTTGCTTGTTCAATATTTATGTGTCTTATTTTTTCAAAGTAGTAGCTTAGGAGAAATAGAAACCCACGCTTAGCAGTTTAGTTGATAAGTATTGATTAGAGGGAAGCACATATATTTTGGTCTTCAGATTATAAGTTTAAAACCATTGTTGTAGCAAATGATGCTGTTTACATAGCTCATCACTGTTCTACTTAAACTACTTTCATCTGTAGCTATGTAGGTCCTAAGATGATGATGATAATAATCTTTAATAAATTCGTTGTTGTTCTATATTGTTATTGCGAGTTTTAGTTGATGAATATTTTGGTGTTGCGTGCAGGTGATAGTGGAATGTATTCTTCTGGTAGGTCCTTTGCCTGCAGATAGGTCACTACAAACACAGTGAAGTAAGCTTGCGCATCTCATTCATACGGGAACAGTGATTTCTTGTCCTATTTAATTCACAAGGGAGGGTGAGGGACTGGACGGTGACTGTACTCTTCTGTATTGTTGAAGTGAAACCCGTAAGCCTCAGTTGGCAACTTATGTTGTAATTAATCGTAATTAGCTGTTATCACTCTTTGTGGATGTGATAACGTGCCCCAGCTCTCCATCTGCATCTCACATTCTCACCCCCCCCTGTATTGTACTCAATGAGATGTTTGATTTAACCTGATTTGAAATTTGTAGTTTGGAATATCACTTATTTACAGTTTCAACCAAGAGTAGGTCCAAGATCGAACACATTTAGTGTACCTATCAATATAAAAATTTGAAAACGTTCGATCTCGTATCATCTACATCATTCGTGGAAGAGATGTTTTGGTGTTGAGTTTGTGGCTCCTTTTTTCATGGTTGTTATTATTCAATGAGATTATTGTTTAAAAGAATCTCGGTGCAGAGACTGTTCATTTCAGATTACCTAATTCTTACAGTTCATCCCAATGTATCTTTTTTTATTTTTTATTTTATGTAAACTTCCATTTAGTTTTAGGTAATTTAAGATAGATCTGCATAAGTAAATAAAATGTGCAAGTCTTGAAATGATTTCTTGCTGAGATTAGAGTTACGAAAAGTTCGTACGATCCCATGTATTACATCTTTGCTTAACCTTAAGTGGATGATTTGGGTTTCAACCCTTGTTATACTTGGTATAATTGCAACTCAAATGAGAAAGCATGTGTCCTTTATAAATAAATTTCAGCTGTACACGGGCCTTAATGTGCAGAAATAAAATACATTATATTATTTGTTGAGAAAAGAGAGTAAAGCAAATCGGGATTTGGGGACATAGAAGAGAAACACTTCATGCTTTTACCAAAGGCTCGTGATGTTCTTTGAGTTCTCTCTCCAACCTTGAATTTGCGTAGTTAGACTTCTGGTCTAACCAAGTAATAATGTCTGAGAAGACGATCTGCAAATTTTCTGGTGGCTCTCCATAGAGTAGACCATGCCACATATGTGGGTAGAGCTTTAGGGTCTTATCTGAGCTTGCGGCCACTTCATAGAGTTGTTTGCTAACAGCTTTGTCAGTGACTTTATCATCCTCACCATGTAAAACTAGAAAAGGTAATGAAACCTCGTGTAGACTAGCCTCTATGAGATTGCTCGCTCTCAAAAGTTCAAACGCTGTTCTCAACCGAGGCTTTCCTTTGTAGCAAAATCGGTTCGCTCTAACCTGCAATACATTCACTTAATTACTTACTTTCATATCTACTCCAAGTATTCATACTTTGTTTCAATAAAATCACCTCTTCTCTGACTTCGGGCACTTTAAAAGCGGCATCAATGATATCTGGGCTTGCAACTATTTTCCACGTTGGAACAACTTTGCTCAGTGCACTCAATATAGTAACCATCACTGCATTCGGTTTCATTTCATCTGAAATCTGCAACAATGTAACTGCTTCAGTTAAATTAAATAAATACAAATATGCTATGTTGCACACTAAACAATCAGTATCTATATCTATATACAAATATACAGCAATAATAAATAAATAACTCATTAAACTCACCATGGCAGTTGTATGTGCACAAACAAATCAATTTAATGTTCAAGCCAAAAAAAAAAAAAAAAAAAATCATCTTTTGAACAACTTTAAAAAGTAAAGTTGATGAAACTATGAGAGCTAAAAGAGTAATTAAAAATATATATACTATCATAAATCTAATTTTAGTATTTTGTAATTATATTTTATTAAATTTAAAACAATTATTGCTTGAATTAATTGATTACGAATTATATAATTTTATGTTTAAAAATAATAAGTGACTTTCTGAAGGCAGTGTATTCTAGATGGTCGCAATATGTGGGGGACGACTACTGCGACAGTTTAGCTTAGAAATTTTTTTATTACTAAAAGGTCAGAGGCCTTTGTTGTCAAATATTAGTATCGGTCAAACGGATCCTCTCAATTATTTTGCTTTAACGAATCAACTAAACTATAATATATAAAAATAACTATGCTTCATATCTAAACATGAGGTAAGATTATAGTTTATAATTTTTTATTATAATATCTTTTATGTTGTCTAATAATTATATAAATTAAAAAAATCGGTTATGAAAAGAAAAATTAAAAACTACATATTTTTTTTTCCTGAGATATATTCTCCGAATCTAAATTATAGAGAAGAGTAGTGATTGATAATGAAACCTTGAAAAAAACAATTCAATAAAAAGGATTTTGATGCAATTCAACTTGCTGGATAGATAGTGTAACACACAATACAAGCACTCCATAAATCGTGATCCACAATAATTCTCGTTCTTTATATCTCTCTGACGTGATTGTCTCGCAAATAATTGTGTAAATTAAAGCGATTTGATGTCTATAACTTTGTATATTTCTGTATCACTTACGTTATTGTCTCGTAAACAATGGATTTTGATGTGTATCATTTTTTTTCTTCTGTATCTCTAACGTGATTGACTCAATCGCAAACAATTAATACAGAATATATCCTGATTATTAAAAAGATATATTGTGTAAAAAGAAAACTTGAAGATATACGTTTAAATTAAGCCAAATTTGAGATCCAAACACGCTATGCATTACATTTGGTAATGTCAACTTAAAAATTTATAAAATAAATATAAATTGTGATATAATATTTTTCTTTTAAAAATAGTTTAAAGCCTATCGTTTGTTGATATGATGTTTGGGAGATATTTGGTATAAGAAAATTTTTTCATGTGTGACATGATTCTCAAAATAATTAAATCTATTCGAGAATATTTATAAATGTTATGAATCAAATATTTTTATTGTACTAATTAAACAAAATTAAGTTAATTTACTGTAACAAAATATTTCCTTTAATTTAGAAATGTTAGGTTCTCACTTATTTTATGAGAATAATTTGATGAAAAACATATATAAAAAAATATTATAGAAAAGTTATGTTTTTTTAAAAGTATTATTTTTATTAATGATAAATTAAACATGAAAAACTAACATTTACAATTTCAAATTCGTGAGAAAGTAAAAATATTTTATGTACTAAATCCTTAAAGAAAGTAATTATTATAAAGTTGATAAGAAAAATGTTAGCGAAATGTTATTATTAACTATTTTTTTTTTAAATTATAACTTTTTAATGTGTCTCACTTCTCATATCCCCTAATAATTTTTATATAAGAGAACTCACCAAAACTTATAATTTTTATCCAATAATAAATATAATATTAGAGAGAGTATGATAGAAGATATCTCTAACATTTATAGGTAAATATACAACAGTTTTGTAACAAAAATATATGCAGCCTTACAACAACTTACAATAGAGATATATTGTTAATTAATATTATCATGTTAACAAATAATCACAAGATGCAGATATAGATTTTAGATAAGATGTATTTTTATTTATATTTTTGGAGGGGTGGGGGTAGAAAAAGACATGGATAGTGAAGATGAGGCTAAGAAGCAAGAATATATTCTCTGAAATCATGACAAGAGATAAATGAAAAAGAAAAACACTACGCACGCGTCAATATCTACTCAATTTGATTTGATTGGGTCCCAATTTGCTGGTTACTGTTGATCGCACCAAAAAGAAGTCTAGCTAACACGTTGGAATGACCCAATACAAAAAGAAACGTGCTGAACAACCAGTAAACACAAAACAATACCCAAAAAATAGTGTTGAATGTTGATGCCATATTTTGATTTTTCTAGTGAAAATGATAATTAAAGCAGCAGAATAAAGAACAGTATGTGGCGTACGAAACACATGTTAAATTTGCACAAGATATTTGTAGAGAAAAAGAACAAAAAAAAAGGGGACAAACCTTGCACATGGGTGCCACCAAAATTGCCCCATCAAAGTAATCTGGCTTTTTCCTATGCAAATGTAGAGCCACAGCTCCTCCCATGGATTCCCCCATCAAGAACCTCATCTTGTTCTTGTTCTCACCTTGTTCTGCATTTTCAATTATTTATCATATCAAAATCAAACATGTCATGGGTTGGAAATATATGTATCCAATAAAAACAAATTGAAATTCAATAGATCTAGATGCTGACCACAAATCGTGGTGAAGTGTAGGATGCAATCGTCGATGACATAATCAAAATTCGTAACAAGGCCAGGAACCCCTTCTGATTTTCCATGCCCTTCATAATCAATTCCATACACAGCAAAACCTGCCTTTGCAAGCCTTCTTGCTGTGCCTGCATGTGTGGCAGTCTTCATACATCAATATATATCATCACAATTCACAACCAAAATTAATCAATATAATTCTTTTGATTCATAAACGATAATACCATAGTTTAATCATAACATTTTGTGCATATTATTCTAATTCTCACTACTAGTGTGGTTCGAATTAATCTATATGATTATACACAATTTCGATTCAAAAATTGAAAAAGTGAAAATCAAGGTGAATAGGGTACTAATAATTAATTACTGTTCATGGTGATGCTGCATTCCATGGCGTAGCCATGGCACATTAAGATCAACGCTTTTGGACTTTGATTCACCGGAAGCCATCGGCATGAAAAAAGCTTCATGCCTCGAGAATTCCATACGTACTCCTTCAAAATTGTAGAAAACAAATTATTTTACGGTTTAGGTTATGTTATTTTTCTTTTCTTCTAATTTTCCTTTGAATCTGAATAAGAAAAGAAGATATTGATGTTAATTGTTACCTCTTCGTATTTGGCATCAGTTTCACTTGCCTGCACATCATTAAGCAAAAGAAAAATAATTAGGAATTAGGATATGATAACCATAGATAGATGGATGAAGAGAGAGAGAGAGACCATGAAAAATTGTTAACGTTGTTGTCGGATGTGTTCTTGGTGAGGAGAGATGAAAAACAAAGTGTTTTGATGAGAAAAGTGGGAGGGAGATATTAGTGCATGAAGATTAGGAAAACACGTAAAAGTGTGTGGGGATAAGAATATCAATAGTTTCTCCATTTATAGACTCATTCTATGAAACAACCTCACTCTCTCTAGACTTGATCCACTCATATTTCAGATTGTTGACTCTTTTTTTTTAACCATATGCATTTTTTTCTCATAAAGATAATCCACTTAAAGATTATTTTAGATATAATTTTTATTGATCAAATATTATTTTAATATAGATAAAAATTTATTATGAGTGTACCAATTTTGTTGACAACTATTTTAATTTTGTTATCATTGAATCAAACTGATAAATTAGTTTTAAATAGGATCTCTCTAATGATGATTTTCATATATACAAAATTTTATCGGAATACCCTTAAAAGATTTTGCCTTAATTAGATTAACAACTTGTTGGTAATGTTTTTTCATTTTAGAAGTGTTAATTAATAACGAGGTTGACGATTTGACAATTAATATAATCAATTACCATAATTATTATACACCAATATTTTGTTGATAATCGGGGTGGAAGAGATTTTGTGTCGTGGATCGCTTATTAATAATTTTTGAATTCATAAAAAAATTGATAGAAGATTTGGTAAACAAAGGAAATTGAGCGGTTGGATGGATGATTAGAACAGGCAACGAAGGTGCATTCACTAAGTTTTTAGATTATTATGGGAAATTAAATAGAAATGTCTTTTCTATTTGACTTGAATGTTGGCATGAGCTCACGTTTTTGTTTATTTATTTATTTATTAAAAAGCAAGTTGGCATTCGTGTAATTTATTGGAACGAGCGTTTCTTTTGACTATACTTCGAGGGTGCTGTCGTTTAAAGACCTTCTAGTGAGTGGACTTTTGAGCCACTAGGGCTGAGCAGAAAATTTTGGTCCGACCGAATCCGAAGAGTTCGCAGGTCAGTTTTTTAATTCGGACGGTTTTTCGCGATTTTTTCGATTTTTCGGGTTATTAAAGTCGGTTTATAATGGGTTTTGTCGGTCGGGTTCGGATTAAAAAATTTGAACCCGTGGGTATCCATACCCGACCGACCCTTTTAAAGGTAGCACAGTGAGAGAAAACCTAAATACCCTAAGCGCAGCAGGCGAAACCCTCTCTTCATGTATACAAAGGTCCTGAAACTGCAATGGTTCCATTGTGCCTCGCCCTTCTCCACTTCCCTTGGTACCAGTTTGGCTCCGGAGGCATCTCCTTCACTTCTTGATGATCCTCCTTTGAAACCAGCTTGCTGAAGCACGTCCTCAGGCACTTCTTGATGACCCAGAAAGCTTGTTAGCGCTGGTTTTCGCTGCCAAGTCCTCCTTCTTCACCAGCTTGAGGATCTCTAGATTGTGCTTGGCGATGGAGATTTGTGGTTGAAGTAGGTCGCGTCCTCCAACTGAAGCTCGTTACGAAGGCAAGGCTGTTTTTTTTTTTTTTTAAAATCCGACTAACCCGATCCAATTAACCCGAGACCCGAAAATCCGAACCCGACGAACCCGAAATACTGTTCACGGTCGAAAATGGGTTTTTTTTTTTTGGATCGGTTTGGATTGGGTTTAATATTTTCAACATGAATCCGTCCGAACCCGGCCCGTGCTCAGGCCTATGAGCCACCACTCGTTAAATACTTTTAAACTTTTCATTTTTTTAAGGATGTGATTTTTGGTCGGCAAAAATTAATCCTAGTAAATTTCAAATTTTTTTATTCTATTTTTTAGAATTTAATTAAACATATATTATTATTCAATGAATTTAATTTATATGTTGACTTTTTAAGAGAGAAATGAGTGAAATAAAAATTCAACTCGTAGCTTTCTCTTTTGGGGTTGGATTGAATGAGAAGGAAGAAGAGGTAAAAGATAATTAATTAAAGGGAAAGAAAAGAAAAGAAAGGTGTTACGATAACAATGGATTTAAAACGACTTCCCAGTTCCTGGCCTGTGAGAACAAAACACTTGTCACTGCCATCAACTAGACTGATGTTGATGTAAAAAAATAAAATAAAAAATTAAAGTTAAATTTTGCTTGATAAAAATAAAATATAAGAAACATTTAATGAGATTATTCGAGTAAAAATGAATGTGAGAGAGAATGGGTAAAGTGGATCATTTATAAAGCAGATAACTATTTTAATTTATATATAAAGTGATTATTTCTAAATTCAAAAAGTATTTATAAATTTTTTAAAAGTTTAAAATTTTGGGAAATGTTTAAAATACAATTTAAATTATTAATTAAAATACTATTTTAATATTTGTTTTTTCTAAAAAAAATATTTGTAAAAGTAATTTGTAGGTGCAGTCATGCATTAATTGAATGGTGATGTTCCATTCACACTAGACATGTACAGTACAGTCACAGTTCGCAATTGCAACCAAGTAGCGAAAGTTCACACGTGAAATCTGCAGTTCAAAAATCAGTTGAGTTGCAACTATCTTAAATGTGTAAAATCACTTATTCTGCGTCTAATAAAGGTGAAAATGTGACAATGTTTTTTTATATGATATTAGTAAAAAATAATGTATCATAAAATTGATTCTATTCAACTTGAAAGGACTATTATGACATTTTTTCTTTATATTTAACACAGTTAAATATTTAAGATGTAGTTTAAGAAAAATAACTAAGTTAAAACAATTTTATTTTAGTTTTTGGAGGTAAGAATGATTTTGAAGTTATTAAGAAAATATTCAGAAATTGTAACATATATGTTTAGAATGTATTTTGATAATTTAATGAAAGATGTGCCTTTGTGATGGACGGCATGATTGACCAAGATAGTGATGAAGAATGGTAGAGACAGTTTGAATCTGAATGGATGCTTCATGTCTTGATGCTTTTGCAATTAGGGTCACTACATGTTCCATCTTCTTTGGACTCTTCTTTTTATCTCGTTAGATGGGTCACATTACAACTCAGAACCACCACACATTATCTTTGTTCATATCCATTTTAATTAGATAATTTTTCCAGTTAAAGTATTGGTCTAACTGACAGGTCAAGAGAGACAAGTCACAATTCACAATCAGGACAAAATTTGGAAAATGGAAATATGAGGTTGGTACCATAGAATTTGATGAAATTATTTTTGAATTATTCATTGCTATTAAAGATATACAATTTTGATGCTGAAAGAGGTTGTAAACATTGTGGTGGAATTTGTTGAAATAAAATAAAAAAGTTGGATGATAATACTAAACTTTTGTTAAAAAATAAAAAATAAGGAAGAATATCAAAACAAACCTTAAACCTTCCATAAGATATATTTCATTTGTTACATATATATTTTTTTTTTAATGAAACTGCTAGTATATACAAAAGTGCACGCAATTGTGAAATTCTTTGCTTTAAACATATGAAATAATGTGCAGCGAATGTTTACTAGTGGAACTGATTCTTGAATGAATGGAGTGATGTTAACCAACTCCAATTATGCCCAATTTTTTGTTTGTTTGTAATTTTTACAATTTTTTAATCATTTTTTTAATTAATTTTATATTACTTAATCATTCATTGTTAACAGTGTATATATATATATATATATATATATAT